GTACGATTTACACAAAATTTTTTAATTTAATGATTTTCATCTTTTTTTTTTTTTTTCGGTTTTCTCCTATGTATATGTATGATGTAAAATAGATTTTGTGCTTAAAGTTTTATAAAAAGCTAATCATTTAATTTTTTAAGGGAAAAATTTGAAACTTATTATATAAGTGATTTTAAAATACTACTCCTACAAAAATTGACGTACACATATGAAATTTGATTTACAAGTACCTCAAACTATGCATAACAAAAGTTGGTATGCGTTTTTTGATAACATGATTGGTATTAGTACAATATTTCTTTTTATGAAGGAATGCTTATTGAAAATTTCTTAAAAAATGTGTAAATTTTAAATTCAATTATTTAAAAAAAATATTGCTTTGATTGAAAAATGCATGTCAATTTTTATTCCACGTGCAATTAGCAACAAGTGAAAAAAAATTTCCAAGTATTAAGCTCAATAGACAAAAAAAAGCCTTAGAATTTAAAATGAAGACAGAATAGTTATTTTATCTTTCTGAGATGAGTCAGTTTAAAGTTTTGATTTGCTATTAAGATGTGAATAAAGACAAACGTAAAAGTTATCATAACTCTGCGTTTTTCAAACTTGGAGATTTCAAATTTAGTGAGTTTGTAGAAAAGTATATAAAGGATAATTTAGACTAAAAAAATTAGATTTTATTTTTTGACCGATTTTTGTCAGTTGAATCGTACTGTGTCCTCTTAACTTGGTTAAAAAACTTTTAATGCTATATATATATAGATCTACATAATATAATATATATATATATAGATCGAAATTTAAAGTTATTTCTTATTGATGTTTTGAAAAAATTTAAAAAAAAAAAATCATTATATGTAGAGGATGAAAGATATATCTTGAATTAATTTTTAAATGAAATAACTTCCAGCTGTCTTTGTTTGAGAAATGAATCCAAGCTAATTTCTGTTAATTTTCTTCTAACTTTTCAACTGACAGCAATTAAAAGTCTTTAAAGCAATTAAAATTTCATTTCACTTTTTCTTGAATTTAAAACCACGTCAAAGAAGACCCAATTAGTTTGAGTCAATCAACATTTTTGAAAGGAAAAATTTAAGAAATTGTGCTTTTTGTGAAATATTAAAATAGTGCTTTGTTTTATTTTTAAAAATATTTTTTGTATGGATAATTAATAAAAACAAGCACTGAATGGAACGTTGCTTGAAATTTAAATAGTGCTTTCCTCTTCTATGGATAAAAATTCTTCAAATTATCCATATAAAACAGAAATTTTTCTAATCGCTTTGCTAAGTGATTATTTCTATAAATAAATTAATTTAATATGTATATACCCTTTTTATATTTTGTTTCGATATTTGCTCGAATGGTGATCTAAGAACGATTCAAGTTCTCTTTCTGAAAAAAAAAAAGTCAACCAAAATTTCGGTTACTTGTTCTCAGAAATCTTATCGCTCTAATGCATTGGTATCTCCCCCTCCCCCCATATGTAATCTCTTAAAACGTATTTACGTAAAGATTTATTATGTGGTTGAATATATTCGTTTTAATACCAATTAATTTTGTAAGGCTTTGTATAAAATTATTTCCTTATCACACGCACAAATGTCAAGCGTGTTATTTAGTGCGATTTTTTTTTTTTAATTTTAAATGTATAAAATTGTTTAATCGTAAAAAATGCTTTTATATGTAAATGAACATTTAGAGAATGAGAAATTTTTGTACTTAACCTTGTACCATGTGATTTATTTTGAAAGTGTCTATGGGGTTCAGAGATCTTCATAGGGTTTTTAATTATTTTATCTTTTTTTTAACTGTTGAAACTGTAACGCTTGATTAAAACAAGTAAAAAAAATATATATATATAAGTACATATATATATATATAGTACTGCCCTCTAATATTCCAGTTTCTATTTTAAATTTGTTGCATCAAATGCATCTACGACGTAAAATTTAAAACACAATATATATGAATATATTTAACAATACTTAGTAAATTTTTATATGTGTGAAATAAATTAATCGTTCCCCTGAAATAAATGTATGTACAGCTTGGAAAATGTTTTGATAATTAGTTTATAAAGCTTTTTGTTCATTAATAAAATTTTGGCACACTCTGTAATTTATTAATTATGCCAGGGAATCCAATACAAGCACGTACATATATTCCATGATTTAATTAAAAATTTTTTATATACTTGTAACTTTTGAAATATAAATTTTTATACAGCCCACCACATTCTCATAGATGTACTAATTGAAAAATGAATTTATTTATCTATTTGAATAACTTAGTAATTATTTAAATAGGTAAATATTTCCTCTTAGTAAATATATATTTAGTAATATTTTTTTTAGTAAATGGAATATATATATATCAGTGGTGCACACAAGGGGGGGGGGGGCCTCGGGTCCGGACCCCTTCTCCCCCACAGCCCTTGAATTTTTTTGGATTGAAGATAATCCTATGCACATAATATGTACAATTTAATTAAATATTTGGAATCAACAATTTATTTTATTAATTAATGCTAATTATTAGCTCAATTTATTTTTTACTGTTTTTTGTTCCCAAAATCGACGAAATCAAAAGAATACATTGGGCGTCGTATTGAGGCATGATACGAGAATGACGGACTTTCAACCCCAACCCCCCCCCCCCTCCTTCAAAATTTTTTGTGTGCTACTGATATATATGTATATATGTTTCTGTAGCAGTATAAGTAGAACCAGAGCGCTGTAATGGAAATCTATTTCTTGAACAACGATTTTTAGTTAGATATTTTTTCCTTGTTTTAGAAAATTCTTAAATTTCTAGAAACTGATGTCGTATTAAATAAAAGTGAAAAAGGATATACAACTTTAAAATTCAAGAACTATTTGTGAAAATTAATTTAAAAAAAAAAAAAAAATTCTGTCTTAATTTTCCTTTTGCAGTATTCGATTTCTTGAACTCGTCTGGTTTTACAGCTTATGAGAAAATAAGAAAAAGTTGAACCTCTTCTCTCGAAAGTCGATTGCATTTTAGCGTCGCGAGTTGTAGTTATCTTTCCCATTCTATTGCTGTTATTTATTTGTGGTTTTTCGAGTATTAAACCCGTTTTACTAGTTCTCGGTTTCTTCTAATTATATGCCAGACGACTTTTGGTGTGTTTGTTTATTGAAACTAAAGTTTGAAATGAAGAAAATTGGAAAATAATTGATATGTTGTCTTTGTATCACAGCGCTTTGGAAACGACCAAAAACAAAAAATAAAACGTGAATAAATTATCAGATATATTTTTCATTATTTTAAATTTTATAAACGAAGATTCTACGATCTAAAAAAAAGGCGGTAAATGGTCAAAAGACTCTCAAATTATTGCTAATACATGGTTACGCGTTCATCGTTTTATTATTGTGGTGCAAACCCACAAAACTGCACATAAGTTTAACAGCTGCAGCATATGTAAGAAAGAAATTGTACTATTTGTTCACTTTCATTACTTACACATCATACAAAGTCAGGTTTTTGTCTGAAACTCAAATCCACATATTTCTATTTATTATTATTTTTTTTTTGGTAAAAATTTTCTGTAGTTTTAAGAGACACATTTTACATTTTGAATATTTCAGTAAGGGGCGTCTTAAGGCATGGACTAACTGGGCCAGAGCCTCAGCCACAATAGAGGCATTGTCTCGTTATCGACTCAGCCTTAATACGATCATGATTTGTATAATTTGTACGGTCAAATGCTTTGCCCTGTTGTATTCAAAACTCTGTGAAATGCGGACAATATGTCAACTGGCTACCTGTGATGACCATCGTCCACGTATAAGCCTAGGCCTCTACCACCATACACTATCATTACTCATTCAGTCATTCAGTTGGTCGAGCCGGTTTGTGCGATTGTAAGTCATGCACATTTATTTGTTTCCGTTTATTGTTTGTACGAGTATTTGATGACGTGTGCTCTGTAATGTCCTACTTTTAAGAATCATAGGTGGGGCCTACTTTTGTGTAAGGGCCCAGGGCCTACTTTTGCGTAGGGGCCCAGCGCCTCAAGAAGTCTTAAGACGTATCTGATTCCAGTACCAAACTGTGTTGTTATACGCATAAGAATTTACTTCAAGCTGTGGCAGTATCGTGTTTTCTTTCTATTAAGAATTTTAAAAATAAATTTCTATTTTGATTATTAACATCGCATTCTGAAGCTGCACAAGAGTCTTTAAAAACAGATCTCGTAATTTTGAACCTCAGTCAAGGGACGAGGATAGTATCTGAGTTGACACCCCACTCTCCAAACTTCCACTCCGCACCAACATGAAGACTTTGATCTTCGACAGATTTAATGTGCCCCAGCCCCTCAACATGGTGGATCTTCAGTGGCATCAGGACTCGACGGAAACAACGCTGGTCACGAGTTCTAAGCTATGGCCACTCGCCTACCTCGGCCACTGCTTCTTATTGTGAAGTAAAGTTCTTTATGTAGATGTTTAAAAGAAGTGTTAGATACATTTTAAGTTCTTAAGAGACGATTAATTTCATTGAAAGTTTATTGTATTTTTTCTCTTGATTATTTGCTTGTATGTCCCCTTCGATTCCGTTAAAATGCTTCGTTTTAGACGTATTTTCAATAAAATATTTTTCGTGTGATTAATCAGATTGTTAAATGTTTTACTTTGACAAATTATCTTTGAGAATTAATATTATTTGTTCAAATTTTGACATTTTTTCCCTAGAAAAAAAAAAAAAAAAAGGGGGGGGGGGGGTTAAATTTAGAAGTTTTTTTGTCAAAGTAATATTTCACCATAGCCAATTTATTTTTTTTTAT